CTAGAATGAGAGAAGACTTCAGTTTGTATTAAGATAAGACTCTTAGAGAGTTTATCCTAATCTTACTGGGAGTCCAAGATTAGCAGTAATCTTGAGTCCATAGAAGTTAGGCTTCTATTGGGACTAGGTTTATGTTGGCTATAAAAGAGAGGCACCCATATGGGTCTATGGTATGCTTTTTAGGCTCAAGCTTGTGAGTTGAATAATTGATTATCTTTGAGAGATATACTGACTTGATCGTCGGAGTGCCCCGGGTGGACGAACCACCGCGGGATTCTTATATTTCTGTTGCAGGTCAGTCAGGTGCCATCTATTCTGCCAGTGCTCTCCAGCTAAATTACTCAGTTGGCAATGTGATCGGAAAATCACTTACCCACAATCCATTCATATTATATGATCAATTCATGTATTTAAAAATGGTAAGCATTATGATTTAAACTATTAATTTAAAACGCTATTTAAACTAACTCTAAAATATTCAATAATTTCTCGTTGGTCGGAGAGAAATAATTCAATACTAGTAATGTATTTGTCTGAGCTATTCTTATTTGGCTCTATATTTCATAGACATGTTAAATCAAGTAGGTTTAGATAGTCAAATGTGTTTAATGTAGGATTAGGCTTAGATAGTCAAGTGTGTTTAATATAGGATTAGGCTTCCTTGTTCGATCCGTGAAGCTTTTCACATATTCCGTTATAATAATTGAAATAATTTATTTTAATAGGCACTCATGTGTATTATTTATAAAAAAAAAATTAAATTAATTTGATATTTACAATCTCTTTATTTTATTGTGTTTATCTTTAAAAAAAAAGACAAATTACACTAACGATCTCTATAATTTTAGACTTATGTCACTTTAGTTTCTGACATTTCAATTGTGATATATCTAACCCTTAATTTTGCATCTCATTCAAAACAAAGATAATTAAAGATACTATTGCTCAATTTTAATGACAAAGTCGTCAATTTGATAAAATATAAACTAGTTTGACAAAAATAAATATCAAAAAAATTATTTTTGAATTTTTAAAAATTATTTATACCGATTAAAGATAAAATTATATAAAATTGATAAATCTTTTACATGTTTATTTATTTAATTTTACCAAATTAATTTTTAATATATGTTTGGATAATGATCATGTAATGAGTGTTATTTTTATTTTGGTTAAATTAGTTTCTATTTTTTCAAAAGTCAAATATAACGACAATTTTGATATCATTATTACACTAATTCATTAAATTAAAAAATTAAAAATATTTCATATATTAAATATGGATAAAGATCCGTAGCTCGAATGCTTGGCTCGAAAACTGGCTCGAATTTATTTATTTTTTTTTAATTCTTTTCCTTCCCTTGCTTCAATAACAGACAGAGGCCTTGCTTTTCAATAATAGACAGAGGCGAGATAGAGAGGAGAGAGAGAAAAGAAGAGGAAGAAGAAGAAAAAAAGAGGAAGAGAGGAGGTGATCGGTGGGGAGAAGAGGAAGAGAGAAGGGGCGGTTTTTTTTTTTTTTTCTGGATCTGGGGATGTTGATGATGAAGATGTTGATAATGAAGATGTGCTGTGTTGATGAAGATGTTGATGATGAAGATGTGCTGTGTGATGAAGACATTGATGATTTTTTTTTTTTTCTCTAGATCTGGAGCTGAAAATGAAGGGGGGGAAAAATTGATGTTTTGTTTGATGTTTTGTTTGATCTGGAGCTGAATCTGATGAAGACATTGATATTTTTTTGTTTTTTTTTTTTTCTAGATCTGGAGCTGAAAATGAAGGGGGGAAAAATTGATGTTTTGTTTGATGTTTTGTTTGATCTGGAGCTGAACAAGAGAAGACATTGATGTTTTGTTTTTTTTTTCTTCTTCTTCTTCCTATTCTCTTTTCTTCTTCTTCTAGTTCTGGTCTGCTTCCTCTTCTTCTTCTTCTCTTGTTCTTGTTCTTCTTCTTCTTCCTGCAAGAAAGAAAAAAAAAATTGTTGATGAACAAATTTTTTTTTTGTTGATGTTGATGATCTGGATCTGCAGCTCTTTTCTTCTTCTTCTGTTTTTTCTTCATCTTCAACTTCCAAAAAACGAGAATGAAAAAAAATAATAATAATAAAAAAATAAATTCTTCAAAACGACGTCGTTTTGGATTCGAGCCAACTTCGAGCTCGACAGTTTTGAGCTACGTAGCAGTTCCGTATTAAATATATCGATTACACATTAAAACCCTAATAACCATCCATTACATAATAACTATCTCAAAATACCTATTAACAACAAATACAACTATCTATTACATGATAACCATAAAAAAGCATCAATAAAAGCAATCACCCATTACATAATTATCATCCAAACACATACTAAAATTAATTTGGTAAAAATAAATAAATAAATAAATGTGTAAAAGATTTATTTATTTTACATAATTTATATTTGGTGAGTTGAAAAAAAATTTAAAAATTCAAAAATATTTTTTTGACATTTATTTTTGTTAAACTATTTATATTTTATCAAATTGACGACTTTGTTCTTGAAATTGAGTAATAGTATCTTCAATTGTCCTCATTTTGAACAAAATTCAAAATTTAGGATTAAATGTATCCCAATTGAAAAGTCAAGGACTAAAATGATACGAGTCTCAAACTATAAGGATTGTTAGTATAATTCGCCCTTAACAAAATTAATAGTCGAGTGTATTTTTAAAAATATACTATCTATTTTTTTACTTTTTTTTAATAACAAATGTGATAAGTGATCGAGTTACAAATATCAGATCAATTTAATTTGTTTATAGATGATATATATGTAAAGTTTAAAAAACACAATAATTTGAGTTATCAAAATGAGATCAGTAACAGATTTTATGAATTTAAACACCACCCTCCAATCCAGATAATGGATTGAAGAAAAATCCAATCCTACAATATAATTGGATCTCCTATATCGTCATCTTCCAACATTAACAATGAGAAGATAGATATTTGGTTTGGGAAGTGGATTAGCTTTTTAATTTTTTGACTTTTTTTGACTATTTTAACCTGTGGCTAAAAATCGGATTTAGAAAGAGCTTTTGACTTTTTTATGAGAGAAAGAAGGTAATAATTATGGATTGAATGTGATATTTTGTCTTATTAGAAATAAAAAGTTTATTTTATTTTTTGTAACTATTTTACTCCCAAACCCACTTCTCAAACAGTGGCTTAGAGAATGGAGAGATTTTTTTTGACACATGTTACGGTTTAATTTTTGTCAATTTTTCACTTATAAAAGAAGAATTCACATAAAAATTTATAAACTACTGCATCAGAAATAAATAAAGAGAATAGTGGGGAATACTCAATAAATCCATCCTTCTCTAACTTTTTATTTTAAAAAAATATATCCGTAATCACTTATCTTGTAATGCTCAAAAAAAATTACAACATAAAAAATATGTAAACATAATATTTTAGTTGGTTCAATCAGTATTGATGTAAAAAAAAAAAAATTAAAACAAATCCTACCTTATTAGAAATTAACCAAAAATCAAATTTATTATTGATCTCAAGTAATTGGCTCATTTGGATCGATTTTTCTTACATCCGTACTTCTTAGATATGTGGTAGTCGAACACAATGTCTAACTAGAACCATAACCAATTCCACCATTAAAAAACAATGTCACCTACTATATCATAGACAATATCACAAAATATTAAGAAATTAATACCACACTTCGGAGGCCTAAGTTAAGCCCTGGTTTGGCTATTATTTGGGGGCTAAAAAAGTACAAAATGACAAAATAGGCTAAATAAGTTAATAAGACAAAATATCACATTCAATCCATAATCATTACATTTTTTCTCTCACAAAAGTAAAAAAAAAATTAAAAAATTCAAACCAAACGAAACAAAAAAAGTCAAGCTAAAAAAAATTTAACACAAAGAAATTAACTATATTAACTAATGTCAAACGAAAGTTTTAATAAAGTTGTACAAACTAAATAAATTTAGGGCAAATTGCGCCCCCTAATCGTACAAAACCGTAACTAAAAGTTTTCTTAAAATAGTCTGTTTCATAACTGCACGACAAAAATTCCTACTTTTCACTCAAAATTTCTCAAATGAAAGCTTTCACTCAAAACTTTCATTTGCATGAAAAGATTATGAGTTATTTAGACAGGATCCTTTAAATTATTGAAAAGTATTATTTTAATTTTTTAAACTATAAAAGCATATAAATATATTCTTAAATTGTTAAGAAGTATCAATTTACTCTAAAATTATAAAAGTATACGAATGAACCCCTTAAACTATTAACGTATTTCACTTTGACCCTTTTCATTATGCGGTTCCATTGGTATGTTTTTATAATTTAGAGGGTCTGTTTGTATATTTTTATGATTGAGGAGGCAAAGTGATATTTTTCAATAGTTTAAAAAATTCATATGTACTTTTTTATAATTTAAGAAAGTCAAAGTAAAACCCTTCAATAGTTTATGGGGGTTTTACGTAAATAACTCAAAGATTTATCACATTGACATGGCAAGAATTGAATCATAATTAATTGATTAATAAACAAATTAACAACGAATCTGTAATATAATTGAGATTGAAACTAAATTTAACAGTGAGAAAAACATTTTCAGTATGAAAATTCTCTCAAAACTACTGCTTGGGACATCATAGTAAAATCCAAACATCACTATCCAATGTATGCCTACATGTCAATATTTGATTGGAAGTTTAAACGTACTGGATAAGACTAGCTTGAGCCATTTCTTACCGCTTTATCCATTCATCTATCCACAGAGAGAGAGCAACGGTATTCCAGGTATCATTCATCAACTTCATTGAAATATATACACATACAGCATCACTGTTATGTATCTCTTGCAATGTTCTCATGTTTGTCTGTATACATAGTTTTAGAAATCTGTTTACATCATTGAACTGAGATTCTTGAATGTCCAATGAAACACAAAGACATTTGATTGATTCTGATTCAGGTAGTACTGTGTTACTTCTGAATCAAATTGAATCAGCAGAGAATGCGAAATTCATAGCACAAATGAAAACAAATACTACAAGTTATGCTATATTTGTCTTTCTTGACTCATTTGAAGATCTTGTTTAGCATCAGCTCCACATTGAGTTCTGCCTATGGTTTAGCATTTAGAAATCAGACGATGACCCATTCGTGACACGTGGAATCTTAGAATACCAAATAATTTTTCATTTTGATAGATTTGTGGAGATTAATAATTTTGGATGTTTCTCCACATGTAGGGGTTACAAACAAATCAAGTTGTTTAAGCTCAACTTGTTTGCTAAACTCGTTAAGTATTAGAGAAATTCAAACTCAACTTGAGTCAACTTTATTATACAAATTAGCCGATCTCGAGCTCAATTCTTTAAGCTCGACTAATTTGAATGAGTCCATGTCCATCTCAAACACACCAGAATTAGCCTTCACTCGTTTGGGCCCTATCCACAGGCACATGATTACTGCATTCCTATATTTATTAAGAAATGGAAGATTTTCTTTGTCCTACTTAATTAGTTTCCTCGTACATTTGGATGGAATGAATATTTTCTTGAAATTTTTCCTACCATTCTCTTGGTGTGAACACATTTTTAGGGGTTCTTTAATATATATTTTTCCCCCATTATTTTATGCACTGTTGATAATTATAGTCCAGAGTTGGTTTGCTGTTGTTGGGTATTCATAGTAAATGATATTTTGAAGGACTAAGCATTTGCTTTACCTCCCTCATAGGTAGTATGCATTCAGACAGCTACCAATGGCAGCCACATTCTGTAACCCAATAATCCTTGGATCTGATCAAAAGTACCCCTCAAATAAGCAAAACGCTGCAAGGCAAGTCCCTCTCACAACTTTTTGAACTTGGACAGTTGGATTTGAATTTTCGATTTTGGAAACAAGAAAAAGTTATAAGTTGTTTATCTATTTTTGTTGTCCCTTAGGTAGTTAAGCTTTGAATTTAGAGAATGCTTCTTGAAATCCATACAAAACTAGACAAGCCTTAGGTTATATATGCAAATGATTTTTGTTTTGCATAGTGATTGTTATTCTTGGAAATCATTAAAATTTTAATCTGACTTCTCCGAACAAATTCCATATGTTTCTTAGGCCTTATCGTAGAGCCCCTTTTTCATATGCTGTCAAAATATCACCAAGTTGCCCCGTCACACAAAGATATCTCAATAGGTCTTCTACAAGACGACTCAATTGGCGGCATAGATGTCAGTGCATTTCCTCCAAGAATACTACTTATGAAGAGGAAAAGGAAGAGGACATTTCTAGAGCAATCTTGATATGGAGAGCAATCAAATTACCAATTTACTCTGTTGCCTTGGTTCCTCTCACTGTGAGTTGCTTTTTAACTCTTCGATCTTTTGAGAATTCTTCAAAGTCATCAATTAAAATTTTGATTAACTAGTTTTGTTTTTCTTTTTTAAATTCAGTATTTTCTGTTATTGGGTTATTTTTTGCCAAATAGCTCAGTCAATTTGAAATTTCTAGAATTCGGCTTCTACAAAAACAGGTTGGAAGTGCAGCTGCTTATTTGCAGACCGGCCTGTACTCTGCTAGACGTTATTTTGTGTTATTGGCTTCCTCGGTTCTTATAATTACTTGGCTAAATTTAAGGTGCGATCCTAACATGCCTTGACGGTTTATGGAATTCAGTTTAATATGACTCAAAAATGCGCAAGACAGCTGTAAACATCTTCATAGCAGAACTATCTTTCACTCCTTTGTTTTCTGTGTATAATGGGCAGCAACGACGTTTATGATTTTGATACGGGAGCAGATAAGACTAAGAAAGAGTCAGTTGTAAATATAGTTGGCAAGTACGGCTCCCAGCAAGTTTTCATTTTTCTATGTTTGGGCTATCCTTCTTGTTATGCTTTGTTTTGATTTACAAAATTATCATTCAACTAACTGTGCCATGTTTGGCATTTTTTAAAGCCGTACAGGAACTCTACTTGCCGCATACTTGTTTCTTGCTCTTGGTTTCATGGGACTCACTTGGGTATCTGTAGAGGCCAGGAATTTGCGTTCAATATTATTACTGGCTTGTGCTATTACTTGTGGTTACATATATCAGGTACTAAAAATTCGTATTGGTCATATATAAACAAAAAACTGTAAATCTAACGTTACCAAATAAGCCCTAGAAATTACTAGTTTAATTCTTTCCTTGCTTGACACAAGTAAAAGCTCTCCTATCGGTACACCCTCACCATTGTATTTTATGTGCAGAATTTAGTTGTTCCATTAGCATACTAGTAAATTTGAGAGAAATACGACATCAAGCTTTTGAAATGGTCATTTGTGCAACAACTGCTTTACGAGGGGGCACAGCAGTCATTTCACCTATTTGGCATATCAAAAAAAAAAATTCACCTATTTGAAACTGTGTTCATTCCAGTGCCCGCCATTTCGATTAAGTTATCAAGGATTTGGAGAGCCTCTGAGCTTTGCAGCGTTCGGCCCATTTGCTACGACTGCTTTTTACTTGCTACAGAGCAGCACAAGGTCGTAGCTAACATTGATTTCTTGATAATCTTGGATTTCACTTCACATGCCTTATATGAGTATTGATTTCGGGTGATTAATGCAGTGAACTTCCCATAACTGGCACAATCGTTTCTGCATCACTCCTAGTTGGCTTCACAACAACTCTAATCCTCTTTTGTAGTCACTTCCATCAGGTAAAATTTTCTTCTCTTGTTTTCTCTCCCCACGATATTTCCACGTCTCCCTATTCAGGGTATCCCTGTATCAGGTAACATGAATGATGTGCAACTCAGGTAAACGGAGATAGAGTTGTCGGAAAAATGTCCCCTCTGGTAAGTACCCTAACATTAGAACTTCAAAATTCAAGAAAAATTGAACAATCGATTCACGTGTATTTATTTATTTATTTATTTTGGGTTTGATATCTTTGTTCAGGTTAGGCTTGGCACGGAAACAGGGTCAAAGGTGGTGAAAGTGGCTATATTCTCACTTTACTCGCTTTTGCTTGTTCTTGGTCTTTGCAGAGCCCTTCCTCTTACTTGCATTGTAAGTTCATTGATTTTAGAGCGTTCTTTAATGCCAACAATGCTTAATTTAGGTGTCACATGATCTTTAGTGCCATTTGGAGTGCATCGTACTTACCTGTCCCGCGATTCTAAGGAGTTGTTTGGAGTGTCCTAAATAAGTACACTTTTTGTCTTTTTAGACTAAAAAGTTGAGGTTGAAAATATGAATATTTGGGTTAACTTTTTGACTTTTTATGAAAAAATGTGTAATAAAAAATTGTAAAAATTGGTTTGTAGATTGATTTGTAGGAGAAAATTAGAATTGGGAGTTGTGCAGCCGTAATTGTTGACTTTTGATGAATAGTGATAACTTTTTAACTTTTTGAGTAACTTTTTGACTTTTTGGCTTTTTTGAGACTTCCCAAACTTAGCCTAAATCTAATCATAGCTTTGTTTCAGTTTCTCTGTGCCCTAACCTTGCCCGTTGGAAAACTAGTTGTCAACTACGTTGAGCAGAACCACAAGGTGAGTAGTAACATTTTAAGCTTCAATTTTTACCGTACAATTACAGATTGGATGGTTATGAACCCTAGTTGTTACTCTTTTTATAGCTGAATCGGATTAGTTCTCTATTGTGGTGTTGAGACTTCATTCTTATAGGACAAAATGAAGATTTTTATGGCGAAGTATTACTGTGTGAGATTGCATGCTTTATTCGGTGCTGCTTTGGCAGCTGGACTGGTAGCAGCCAGAATTCTCTAATTTTCCACTCCATAGATTTCAAAATTTGCCTGGTGAGCATACAGTTTTGAATTCTTGCTATTATGAATATTCTGTGAAAGCAATTTTGGCTATACACATGTTCAAGTTAAATTGTGTTGCCAAGTGATGGTCAATAAAAAACCTTCGTTTTTACCAGTTACTCTGGTGACTAATCTCCAAAAAAGTAGGTTTACTCTGGCAGCGCCAAAGCTGCTCAATGGAGAGCAACTTCGAGTTGCACCCTCTCTACCAATCCTAAAGGCGAGTTACTGATCAGACATGTCACAACTCAGAGAACCTGAAAGGTTTCGCCTTTTTGATGTATTTCTTGATGGGAAGCTAACCACTTCTGCTGTAAAAGGTTAAAGAAGGACCTCGTTCATGGTTGTATTGTACAACTCCTCAAATGCTTTCTTTCTGCACCTGCCGGAGGCAACAAGGATAACATTCTACCATACAAGACGAATTTAAGCAGCTACTGTTGTTGATGTTGAAAATAATTAGGACTTGGGTCCATAACATTTTTGTTCCTTTCTGTAATTTAGTTTCTCTAAATAAAACAGCTATAAGATAAGGTTGCCACAATTTGCTAAATTTTTGTACGTGGAGTGTGCTGTCTTGTTTAAAAGCCAGTGTTGGCCTTTCGGGGTATTTCAAAATTTATATTGTCAAAATCTTTGGAAGTATCATTGGAAAATTTAGCTGGTTGTTCTGTAGACTGGTAAGGAGGTTGGTTGTTCATTCGTCTTGATAACTTCATCAGTTTCAACCCTCCAAGATTTGTGTCATTTTGTTGCTTCCTAATCCATTAAAATTTCATCTAAACGTCCAATCGTTTACATCTTTTGTCCATCTTCTTGCTCTTCCGGAATCATTCAATTATACCTAGGGTTTTGAGGTGTTCTAGTATTTTTCATGAATAATCTCAAGGCCTCGAGTCCAAATTCTAATGGAATCTGGTATCAAGAGTTGGACAAGCATCATAAGCAGAGAAAACTTACCAGTATATCAAACACTACATGTACTGAAACAGTTGCAAAAGCGCCGAACATGTCAAGTATATCCAAGTACGTTTTTATTTTAAATTTAGTTAAAAACCTAGCGTTTTGCAATAGCACTGGGCAAATGTGTCAAGAAGTACTAGCTTTCAATCTCGGCAATCACAAGACAAGTTCCCAAGAGCATCTCTTGTCGATGTAAAAGCAAACTTCAATTCATCCCCAAAGTTTACCATTTATATATCCCATCCAAGAATTTTCCCAAACCCCAGCCTCAAAAAAAGCTAAACAACTGGTCTACAAAAAGAAAGAGCTCAATTCCCCCAATCCATGCACGTAAAATGTAGAAATCCCTACAAGTACATACACTTACCCAAGATCAGATAGAAACCTGCGTAACCAAACCACTTCACTAGCGGCTGCAGACATAGCCCAGTGTTCTGCCTCTGGATTGGATTTGAACCTTCTCAAGTATTGTAAAATAAAGGTCCTGCTTTTTGCTCTTCCAAGAAATAAAGGAGTTTCAAGGGAAGATACAAAGTTCAGTGGTAGAGTGGTGATCAATTGGGCTAGGAAGAATTTCTATGCATATTTCATGTTTCTATGTCCATTAGATCCACCCCACTTCAAGTTTATAACTTTATACCAGTGTGAATCTAAAATATTTTACCGTTATTCAAGAAAAGCATGACAAGAAGCTTAAGAATGTGTACGAAATATGAGTTGTTTCCCTAAGAAGATAAAGGCCAGAAAGAACTATCCATAGCAGCAGCGTTTCGTACACAAGCAGCCTAAAAACACACCCTCTCAAGTTATTAACAGACTGCCAAGAATGTATTTCTTTGTTTCCTTCAAAAAAATTATCATTGCTGAAATACTTTGACCAACAAACTTATGTCTGAATATGTTCAAGTAATCAGGCCTAATTTTACAATCCAGAAGTCATTAATGGTAATACTACAGGGCAAGTTAAGCTCCATTGTCAAATTCTGCAACAGAGTTCTCTCTCTTGATAGAGCTGCTGCTTATAATTCTAAAATGTACTTTATAATTCACATTTCGAGACGATTTTTGCGAGTGAGCACTAAGCAAGCTCACCTTAATAATACGAGCCAGAACGTCTGCTTCTTAAGTATCCATCATTCGTGCGACTGCTTATGTAGACAGGAGAGTATGAGCCTACATCCATCTGAGCAAGGAAACAGCAACAAAATGAGGAAATTCCCAAAGCAAGACCTTGACATGAAAAATAAAATAAAAATTGGAGAACATATGGACAAGGAACACACTTCTGATCGAGAAGGTATGTAATCCTCAGTCACATAATCCCTGTCATAGGTGCAGTAAAGCACTTCTGCATCTCCTCTGCTCTTCTTCTCTGCAAGAATTAATGGAGCAACATTGAAGCACCCAATTAGCTGCGAGAAAAAGATAAGAAAACAAGAAAGGAGAAAAGAGAGCAATGCTACATTCACTATTGTTACTTCCAGACATCATTGGATGTCCAAATATCATTGTTTTTTTGACAACCAATCACATTTGGCCTCCTGTAATTTTAGAGAGATTTTTAGCAAGAGTATTTGTATAGAATTTTTCAAGAAAAAAGCACACCTCTTCTGTACCCCATACTTGATGCATCTGTATCAAACTGTCCATGAGAATGCCTTGTAGAATGCCGATTCCCTCCATCATACCCTGAACGAGAGCCATGCCTCAACCTAACACAGCTGCAACAATCAGAAAAATGACAAAAACCCAAAAAAAAAAAATGATGTCTAAGCAACAGACAGACCTTGTTGAGGCACTTCCATAAGAATTGGCACTGTATGACGAGTGAAAACTGCTACCCCCATAATCAAAACGAGCTCCTGCCTGCCTAATTGAAGATTCACCAGAACGTGGGTGAGCTTCCTCCTATAAGTAATCAGGTAAGAATTTTATCAGTACAGAAACCGCAACAATTTTAGCAAACAACATACACAAAAGCAAGAAAAGATAACTGACAATGAGAGAATAGGGACGTTTGGAGCCCGAAATAGAACGGTAATCACGGCTGTAACTATCACGATAGCTTGAGGATTGTTCCATATATCTCTCATAGCCATCATCATCATCATCATACAAAGGAATTCTACGAGAGATATTCCTTCGAGAACTTTCCAAGGACCCAGATCCACGTGAAGAGTACATATCTTTATCAGACTGCCTCCTGACAGGAGCTCTAGCAAAATCAGATGGCCCAGAAAATTCATCCCCTTCATTAATGTAATCTCGGTGTATGGTCGTTCCATAAACTGAAATGTCCAAAACAAACCAAAAAGCATATGATGAGGAAGAATCCAAGGAAAACTACATAGTTGCTGTCAATATAATCAGGATTCACATACCAGGAGATTTTTTACTGAACGATCTATCCGAGGAAGCAAACTGTCTTCTCCTCCCCACTGTTTTAGGAACCACATCGACAATTGGGTGTCTATTCCTATTACCAAGTGATTGTTTTAGAATTCCATCATATGCATTGTGATTTATACTTCTTCCACTATGGCTCGTAATCTTCCAATTGTCCATGCTGGATATACTAGATCCCCAAGAAGCCTTGATATCTCGACGGTCGCCATTTCCAACAGGATAACCTCCTTGAGGATGTCTAGCAGACTTTCCTCTCTGACGTGGCCTTGTTAACCTAGCCCTAACCTTCACCTACAAACAATGCAGGAATCAAATTGAGACGTTACATACTGGCAATATTTGTGAATATCGATATTTCAAGATACTTTCTCTCTTTATCCATGATATCTTATATTGACATCTTGAACTATGTCCATCAAGGTGTACATGTTTCCAGGTAGTGTTATATTTTGGAGATCGCTAAATCCACACCCTTCAGCAAATTGTTATTTCTTTTCCGAATATTTATTCCTTTTCATGACTTCCTAACCCATTAACTCATTTGTATTTTATGATTTAAACACAATTTTTCACTATACAAATTTAGAAAAGCCATACAGTCTTTTAAAATCCTTAAACCATCAAATTAGTAAGCATAGCACTGCAAACAAGAAAATACCTTCTTATCTCCATGACCAAGCTCAGCACTATTTATGCCATCAACACAAGCTACTGCAGCATCATGTGTCTCAAATGTTATAAAACCAAAATCTGTTCTTTTTGCAGCTGGCATATTCCGGGCAAGTTCAACCTTTTCAATCCTCCCAAACTTTTTGAAATGCTCCTTGACAGAATCCTCTTCCCAGATAGAAGGCAAACAATCAATAAATACCTTCCTAACCTGAAAAAGAACGTAAAGCAAAAAATGTTCAAACCATTCTAAAACGGAATTTAAATGTTAGAAAGGAAAGCTACTTGATATTAGCAGATATAAGTTTCGAAACACCACCAATAAAATTGTAACACATCGTCTGCATATATCATGGTCCTTATAAAGTACATCATAAAAAAAAATAAAAAATGAAAGACAATGGTAAGATTGAAACAAAATGCATTTATAATAAATAAAAGAAACACAATGAAGTATCAAAAATCCACAACTAAACTAGTCGTTGACACAAACCTCACAAAAATGGCTTAAATATTATTAAAGTAGTGTTAACTTCAAGAAGCATTTAAAAGACTTTGTGGCTGAATGATACAACTGAAAATTAAGTACTCAAAATATTAGTGCTCAAGTATTTGTACTGACTTGTTTAGGTAATGAATTTCTTAAATTGAAGATTTAAAACATACATTTCCCCATTAAGATTGCTAAGCATAATCATTATTCATTCAAACTCATTTAATAAAAGATTTACCAAAAATATTCCTAGTTGAACACTTAATGGGGTTATAAATGAACCCATTTCTGAATGTGGAATAATACATGCTTCTTTTCAATGAAGAAAATTTTCCAGTTGAGTAAAGTTTTAAAAAATAATAATAAAAAAAAATTTAAATAGGTAAATCCTAGCAAATAGGGTTGGATTCACATATCATAAACAAATAATCATCATAATAACCCCAAAATATGGGGGAATTTAAAAGGTTCACTTCCACGAGATTTTGTCCAAAAGTTGTTGTTTTGATGGCCTAAAATTCAGATCACCTTCAGAAGTCCAAGCTCAAGATTTGACAAATTTATACTGTAGATTTACAGATATAAATTGATGCAAGAAAGAAAAAAGAAGTTAGATACTGTAGCTTACATAGTGGAGTTCTTGCTTCATCTCTGAAAGAAAGATTAAAAAAAAAGTAAAGTATATTCCAAAGCAAAGTCATGGATAAAACAGTAAAAATTCACCCCTTCAATGACATTGATGGTATCATACAACTTGATTGATGATTCTAATACAACCTCACAGAAATACAGAATACTTCAATTCTTCTTTCCACTTGACTATTTGCTTTATTAGCTTTATTAGCTACAACTCTCTTCACCAATAGAAAATTAATATCAATCCATAATTAATCACACATTATTATTAAGAATTTCTTCAATATAGAGTAAAATTTTACGCATATCTTTATGCAACAATTAGCCATCAACTGACAACCAACCTCCAGGTAATACTTGACTAAGCCCGAATCTAGGCACTCAACAAGGTAACTAATAACAACAAATGTTTAGGTGCCACCACAGTGACAATGAAAGATATGAAAATGCACACATTCATAACTCACGCATGGCTGTCTGTTCATTTTAAAAAGTGGGACAGCATTCATCTATGCACCTCAAGTAATCTTGACTAAATCCAAACCACACAAAAGTTTGGTTTAGACTAGCACAGCTTTCAGCCTTTTTCTTCTTCAAGTCAGTTAAAGCTTCAATCTTCTAAACCAAGAAACTGAAGTCAAAGCCAGTCATTTTAACCTTAGGCAACAAGGTTTTGCGATATAATTGGTTTCTGCGTATGCACATATAATTGGTTTTCATGTACAGAAGGGAAAGATTTAGCATTTTTTCCATATGTCAACTGGAATAAAAAAGAAATTGCAACTACCAACCTTGAAGATACTATCAGTCACCTATCAATCAAGTTCCTTTGACAAAATCACATTACACTATTTCCCACTCTAAAGTTTCTCTCATTATGATGAGTGCAACAACTGTTAATACTTACACTACTTGATCATGAAATACACAATTGTGCAAAGAATAGAGAAACAACCTATGCACAGCTGCAAGAGGTTATAATACTACTTACACATATCTGAAAGGGATATAGTTGTTGCACATGATTCGCAGCACTGTGGTGCAACATGACCATAAAACTAAAAGAACACAAGAAAGAGGCTCCATATTGTGTCATTAATAACTCGCATGTTCGTTACACATATAGGAGACAAATTTACAAAACAAGGAGATACCTGTGCCATGATTTCTTCATCAGGTTCAGTGAAAGTATCTGCAAAAGCAACCCTAGCCATTCGATCTGTCCCAAACTCAACATCCCTCTTTTGCAAGCGCTTGCAAGCTTCCACAGCATCTGCTCTGGAAGAGAACCCCAGAAAAGCGAATCCCCGATTCCTACCCTCATTTTTAAGATCATCAATCAATGTCAACTCCTCAAACTTTTCAACCCCGTAATTGGCAAGCTTTTCCTTCAGCTATAAAAGCAAAATCACCATGATCCGGCATAAACAGTTTTGTGCAACAACTTTTTTTCTTTAGTGCAAACCTTGATTGAAACTAGAAAATGCCAATAGAGTTTCAAAAGACTTACAGTTTCCTTTGTCCAATCCTTGCAAATGTTACCAACAAATAAAGTGTCATTGTCTTTACTTGGAGCTACACCACACTGTTTCCCATTAACCTGACAATAGAAAACATCATTTTCATGCTACATTATATAAAACCTCCGTTCTCTATTCCCCTGTGCAATATATTCTTTTCAGACAGAGTTACCTGTCCAAAAAGAAAAAAGAAAAACTTTTCTTACAGAGTAGCGTCTGAGAAGCATCAGCCAGTTTCCATTATTGAACATATCATTTTTTCAGTTGTGTATGTGTCCACAATGTGTCAATGTATATGCAATCATCTTGTGGCAAGATACTATAGTACCCTCTCTATCAACACATAATGAAATGAAGAAAAGGTAGCATATGGCCTATGGTGTTTAGATGACCGTGGATAATTATAAATGCTGTTTGGAATTATATCATCTTTATAACATGAGAATAGAAGATGCACACACAGGCTGAAACAATTTATGAAATCAAGAGAAAAGGAAAATGAAACAGGTGATGCCTAACAAGAAATGAAATTCAGGAAGTTTAACTTCAAAATTGAGTTAACTAAAGACTTCAGAGCCAAGGCAACACCACATATTAGTCAGCCAAATGGTATTTTGATAAACTAACTTAAATCATATTTGCATATTCATATACATCTTTCTTGCTTATAAGTTGCAATCCCTGCTATATTCTTAAATTCAAATACACATTTAGAGTGATTTTGAGAATCAAAAAGGTTGTGTGTGCAGCTCAAGAGCTTATAAATAAACAAAACTTCTCATCCATAGGAAAATTGTATGTGGCTTGGCATAACTAGACAAGTACACAATGATAATGAATAAATAGAAAATTCAGGCCACTTTCTTTCCTTTTGAAGAATTATAAATACAAAGAAATTAACAATAGGGATTAGATTGATACCACTGGATGTTTTAGTTCATTGACAGCACGCTTTGCCTGCTCAACAGTAGCGAATCTTAGGAAAGCAAAGCCCTTGTTTTTCTTAGTTACTGGGTTCTTTAAGAGCCTCACTTCAGTGATCTCACCCACCTGACTGAAAACATTCCTAAGATCATCCTCAGTGACATCTCGATCCAATCCACCAACAAAGACCTCGAACTCCTTCCGTTTCCTCCTTTCTGTGACCACGTCACGATGCTCTTCTTCGAACCCTTCTAGTTCCTCACCATGTTCATCTCCAACATCCTCCTCGCACATATCTTCCTTCAATTCCTCCTCTCCTTTTATTACAGCTTCCGTCATGTCTTCTCCATCAATTCTCCCTTTACCACGTGCTTCCTCTTCTTCTTTACCTTCCATCTCCCAATGCTCTTTCATCCCTTCATTTGCCTTGCCCTTTTCTTCAGCATCGGTAAGCAAGACACTACTTTCAAGTTCCAACCTATCTGATTTGTCCGTCATTCTTGGATCAATTACCTTATCCTCCTTTTCCTCTGATACAAAAAAGGTAGTAAGTCCCACAAATTATCACAACTGGAATTATTTTCTTCAAAAAATGACAAATATATCAATTGGCACAAAGCCTCAAAATAAAACTACATGTACACAATTGGTTCAATTCTATATTTCCCTTTTTTTCGCATTTTTTTTCAAATACTGACATATGTACCCCCAATAGAAATGAAATGAGATTGAAAATTTTCTGATCAACAAATGAAATTAGATTTGGGCGGCATTGGGAGCTGAGAAAAATGCAGGGAAATACATAAATGATAGTTTACATTGGATTTGAATTTTTTGAAAAAGAAACCTCCTTTCTTCGGTCTTGTTAATCATTTGATTTTACTCTACATTCTCAGGAATCAATCAGTCAGAAACTAAGTTAAAGCTTAAATCCTCTATTGATTCAATCCTTGAATTCTTTTAAAACTATATAAATCACACAAATTTTCGCTTTCCAATAAACTTTCTAACGATTCTCAGAATTCCAAACCAAAAAAAAGGAAAATTATTATATAAAAAAAAAACACATACTACATAAAAATTATGCATGTGTATAACAAGAGAGAGAGAGAGAGAGAGATTACCTTTGCGAGGAGGTCGACGGTGGTGATGATCGTGATCAAGGGCGGCGTGTTCTTCAACAACTGGGGATTTCTGGGACGGTTTCCCCTTGATGGCGGTGGAAGTGGAGGACGATGGTCGCTTCAGTACTCGGCGCGGTTGCATACTTACAACACTGACTTGGAGAGAGAGAGAGAGAGAGAGTGTGTGTGTGTGTGTGTAATTTGTAAAACAGAGTGAGAGAGACAGAGAGATGAATGGAATGTGCTGCGTACTACTTGGGAACGAAGCAAGAAGATGTTTCTCTGAAAGTCGTTATATTGACGCCGGGTTGACGTTGACTGGGCCTTGCTTTAATCTCAGCCATTCATTTTTCCCCCATAATACGTCCAACAACAGTGTGATTGATAAACTGCTTTGTTTATGTGAAATTTGGGAAATAGTATGTAAACACCCCTTTATAAGTAAAGAAAATAATAGAAAATAATAGTATAATTTTATAATATAAAAAAAAATCATAACTAAATAATAAGGTATAATTAAAAATTTCAACATTCAAAACTAAAAGAAAGTCATAATTAAAAAAAAATTAATCTTAATTTTAAAAAAATGACATAATTTAAGAGTGCATATAGTAGGAAATGTGTATAGTAAATTTTTTCATGAAATTTAAATTTATAGTCTAGAATACTGTTAAATAATTTTTTAAAATCCTGCTGTGGGGAAAAGATGATATTTTTTTTTTTGGGGGGGGATAAGAAGTTTTTAAAAAATACAATAAAGTACTATAAATTTGATGTGATTATACCAATTAAAAAAAATTCACTCAAACAAACAGAACCTTAGTTAAAAGGTTAAATCCACCCCAACTTTTCTATTAATAAGAAGATGAAAAATGATTTTCCTCCCGAAATTTTCTTCCCTGAATCCCCCGACTCGTTTTGGGCAGTTTTCTTTGTTTTTTTTCTTTTTTTTTTCTTCCCTAAAGAGAGAAAGAGAGAATGGAGCGAGGCCGTCGCTAATCGAGGGTCGAGGCTATCGCCGATTACCGCCGCCTTCACCTCCGCCTCCGCCTCTAGCCCAATTTTTTTTTTTTTTTTTTTTTTATCTGAAATGGTTGATGATGTTGATGATGAAGATGAATGGTTGATGCCCAGCCCGATTTTGTTTTTTTGATCTGAAATGGTTGATGGTTGATGCCCAGCCCGATTTTCTTTTTCTTCTTCTTCTTCATTTTCTTCTTTTTCTTCTTCTTACTTCTTTTTTTTTTATTTTCTTCTTCTGAAAAAAAAAATATAAATATAAATAAAAACGACGAAACGACGTAATAAAAACGACGAAACGACGTCGTTTTGATTTCGGGGGGATTTGGGGAAAGGCAGATTCGAGCTACATAGCATTACTGAAAATGATTTTTCCCCTGAAATTTTCTTCTCTGAATCCCCCGATTGTCAAAAATCACGTCGTTTTGGACAGTTTCCTTTTATTTTTTCTTTTTTTTTCTTCCCTCCTTTATGTCTAAAACGTAGAGAGGGAGAGAAAGAGGGAGAGGGAGAGAGAGAATGGAGTGAAGTCGTCGCCGATCTCGGCCTCCGCCTTCGTCTCCAGCCCGAATTTTGATTTTTTTTTTGGATCTGAAATGGTTGATGATGTTGATGATGAAGATGAATGGTTGATGCCCAGCCCGATTTTGTTTTTTTGATCTGAAATGGTTGATGGTTGATGCCCAGCCCGATTTTCTTCTTTTTCTTCCTTCTCTTCTTTTTCTTCTTCTTCCTTCTTCTTTTTTTGATTTTCTTCTTCTTAAAATATATATATATATATATATCAAAACGACGAAACGGCGTCGTTTTGATTTTGGGGGGATTCGGGGAAAGGCAATTCGAGTTACATAACATTACTGTAAGAAGATTATATATCCACTATAATCTACCAGACTCTTAGACTCAATATTTTCTCCAACCTAAAAGGAGAATAATGTAATTTAATCTTTTTAAAATTAATTATACCAAAATCACCTTAACTATTAATAAATCTATGAAATCATACATTTTTCACCCCACTGAATCAAAATAGTATTGTTAGCTCTTAAAAAATGAAAAGAAAATAAATAAATGTTTTTTTTTATATAAAAAAAAAAATATATATATATATATATATATACTTTTTCTGTTTGATTGTCCGTAAAAATTACTTTTCTGTTCTTTATACTTTTTCTGTTTGATTGTCCGTAAAAATTACTTCTCTGTTCTTTTGCCTTCAATTCTGTCTTGCCTTTTTAGTTTCTGCCTTTTCTCACTTTTTTTTCCTTTTCAAAGAGGAGTGGATAATATTAAATTTCCTTCTTGCTCCCCAAAAAAGAAAGCATGCATAGATAAATTCTCCAGTCCAATGAGATCAAAAAACAGTGGAGTTGTTTGGGCTGTCTTAAATAAGTTATTTTTTATCTTTTTAAACTAAAAGGTTGAGCAAAAAATATGAATATTTAGATTAATTTTTTGACATTTTATGAAAAAATATGTATTAAAAAATTGTATAAATAAATGTATAAGAGAAGATAGGGTAAAAAGCCGTACGGATGGACAGAGGAGCCGGCTTGGTGAGTAGATGAAAAAATATTATCTCCTTCTCAGGCTTTGATTGGATGGTATTGTTTGGCCCATAAGGGGTCACCACGGGTCTTATTTTTCTAATCGAAACCGTTAAATGTGTAGAACTCGTCGAGTACTATATGCTTGTAAAAAATCACGTTAATTAGATATTAACAGCTATCTGATCGTGTTATTTTTTTTGTTAATTATAACAAAACTGATTTAATCATGTAATTAGCAATATCCGATAGACGTAATTTTTTACAGACATATAATATTAGATGAGTTCTACATATTCAACTATTCAGATTATCAAAACAGAGACCCATGGTGAACCCCTACGGGCCCAACTTTACTATTAAGATTCAGTGAATATTCTCCTATAATTTTTTTTTTTTTTATCTGTCACTGACTGAACTTATCACGCCAGTCCATCATTTGGGCCAACTTTTTGATTTGTATTAATATTTGTATATTAATTTTTTAATATTTTTTTTTAGTGAATAGTGATAACTTTTTAATTTTTTGACTTTTTCTGAAGTGGCCAAACCAGCCCTGAAAAATTATACAAAACTTCATCAAGCTAGGGCTCCAAACTTAAAGCAAAAACCACATGTCCAACCTTTGTGGTGTATTATTACTCATCAGATATCATCTTGCCAAACCTAAAACTTATTCCCATAGCAAATTAAGAAACCAAAACAACAAATACCCAAATCAAAAACTTCTCTCAGCATCTAAAACAAAAAACCATATCTCTGAACTACCAAAACTCAGGCAGTTATTGATAAACTACCAAAAATGAAGCGAGTGCATGATCATTTCACTTCGAGCCCTAAAACCTGTTTATGCAGCGACTGATGGCTTGGATGCAGCAGAAAGCTTGGATCTCCTCTTTGCCAGGCTCTCACTGCGTCGCTCACGCTGCTCCTTCAACCTGGTGGCGAGGAGTTTGTGGTACTCGGCTGCCTCTTCCTTGGCCTTTGCAATTCTCTTCTTCTTCTCTGCAATCCTAGCTCGCTTCCTCTGCAGAGTCAGTGGAGTTACCAGTCGCTGTATCTTTGGAGCCTTGCTGCACTTCTTTCCTGCCCTCCAAACACACAAATAATGTCATATAAAAATATAGCTCTACAATAATCTTAATAAAATAAATTTTTAATTTTTGTAATACACAACTCCAAATATTTTTCATGAAGCAGCACAATTACTGACATAATAACAGCTTGAAATCACTCCCACCCAACTTTTGTTTTCGTATCATCATGATAACTATTTTTCGAATCAAATGCCTGACTACTCACCAGCAGGTCTTTGTCAATAATGACCATGTAGACATTTTTATATGCTATCCTACATGCCATGACAATAAATCCAAATTTAGAAAATAGCACACACAAAGAAAGCACCGATATAAATGTGCTTAAGCTACTATCTGATAGGTGAGAAACCAGATAAATGTGAATGGGCCAAAAAATTAAAGGCAGCTTCACCAATTTATTTTATCTATTTAGTTGTATAAGTAACCTATTAGTAGATGAAATTGCATTTTTATGATGCAGCAACAACCAAACGACTTGACCTCACATGGTGAAAAGTAATTTAAAAATGAGAAAGGCAGGAAACAAGCAACTCTTACCTGATTTTGTAGTAAAGGTTCGGCGGTAAGTGTTGACATATTTCCGGACATCGTCCTCCTTGGAGAGGTTGAACAGCTTCCGAATCTTTGATGCCCTCTTTGGACCTCTCATCCTGGGTTTCTCAATATCAGTCAATCCAGGTAGATCACTCTCACCCTTCTTCACAATAACCAAGTTCAGAACAGAGAGGTCTTGGCTGACAATGCACCCACGAACAGACTTCCTCCTTCTCTCTCCCTTGCGCCTTCCATGACCACGAAAGCACGGAGTGCCTGTTGTATAAACATGAAACAAAGACAACTTGATACAGCAACTGCAACATTTTAATACAAGCTTAGCTTAAAGAAACTCAAGTAGAAAAAAGGCTAGAAGCCCCACACTGCAAAAAGGTTAAGGTGGAACAAAGCCACCACGACAAAAAAACATAAAATTCCAATTAATGCACTTAGGCAGAAATCCAGCAGCATTACCGCAAGAATGCAGTCATTACTTATGTTAAGACTGAAAAAAAAATAACAAAAAAATGCAAAGATACTCCACAAAATTGAATTCCCAACCCAAATAATGGTAAAAAAATTTACTAAAAAAATGATATCAAATGTGTAATCAGTAATCACTAATTACAATTACTAGCAAAAGCGGCCGTAACGGGTGGCGGTAACCGCCAAAACCGTTACGTAACGGCGTTACGTAACGGTTGCGGCCGTTTTTTAAAACCTTGATTACTAGTTTACTAAATATAATAAAACAAAATACAAAAAACCAATGTTGTGTCTAGATGCTATCTCAATGAATTTGGCAAGTTCACTTTTGCATAAAATAAATGCGCCAATTTACTGACCTCTATGAAGCAAGAGACGAACACGACCAGGAGTCAGCACTCCCTGTTTCATGGGGAATCCTTGCTTGTCACAGCCACCCATGATCTTAAAAACATAACCCTTAAACTCCTGTAAACAAATAAAATAAAAATAAAAATAAAAATCCTTGTTTTCATCATAAACAAATAGCTAACAATAAAATTTTCCAAGCATATGAAACAAGATTATCAGCAGCATACCTCACCAAGGGAATCACCACTGACCTCCTGTGAGATCCTCTTGTCAAAGAAGGCACGGCTGTTCATTAAAATTTTAGTTAAGAAATCATTAGTCACTCTTATAGTGGTCACTGCATCCGGAATAAAATAGTTATCAACAGTTAAAAGCCAACAGCAGATAAAATACCAACTTGGCAATTGCATCAGTAATCCTAATCCCTGCATTTTATCTGTTTTCCCTGTCATTTCAATTAGCTATTTTTTAACCCTTAATTTTAAAATTTGTGTCAATTTGGTCCAATTGATAATGTCAGTTAAGGTTTTTGCTTAAAAATGGTCACTGAATTGATTGACGTTAACTGACCACGTTAAACAGATTTATAATTTTGTCTATAAAAGCATGACATGTGTTGTTTATGCGTACATTTTCCATCAAAAAACACTAACAACAGTAATATATTAAACCAAATTGAGACAAAATCATAAATTCAAAATCAAGTCAATTTAAATTATAGAGAACAACATGACACAACAAGCTTCTATAAACATCAAATGTATGTTTAAATCAAAACCCTAAATTATTATTGGTTGCTACTATTTACATAATATGCAATCAAACAAAACGTTGAATCCAATATCCTTTATTTCCTACTTACGTTTTTCATCGCACAGTAAAAAGTAGAAAGCGGGGGATTCAAAAAAATCACAACATATGCTTCTTTTGGATGCCGAGAAGATACTAGAAAAAGGAGAGAAACTGGAATGTAAATCAGGTACTCAGAAAACCAAAATCGCCAACCAAAGGTAAAATACATCCAATCAGTTACCAAACCAACAAGAAACATAAATACTCCAAAAAAATCTCAATTTTTCATTGTTCTACACCGTTTTCTTAGCATCCAAACATAGGGTCAAAAGTTACAGAAAAAATATATAGATAAATTCTTACAGTTTCTGGTCATCATCGATTTCGAGCTTTTTCTGGCACCCAGTGGTTGGATTCGCTATATTGAACTGCAAATCAAAGAGATAGGGGAAAAAAATTACAACGTGGGAAAAGCAAGGGTCCGATCGAGTTTCATGTGAAGAAAAATTAGGGCATTTAGTTTATTTGTGATCAAAGTACCTTCATCCTCCTGTATAGACCCTCTACTCTACTCAGTCGCTCGTCGCAGGGGCCAAACTTGACAGTTAGGGTTGCACAATAATATGAGACAACGACGGAGTTGTTGGGTTGGGTTAGGTTGGGTTGGGTTGGGTTGGGTTGAGCCACAAGGCCCATAACAAGCGATTTTATTTTGGGCAAATTACAAACACCCCCCTCGAGGTTTAGTAAAAATACAAATTCCCCCCTGAGGTTTGAAAAATTACAAATTGCCCCCTAATGGTCAAATTTTCATAACAAATTAAGAAAAATTAGGGGGGAATCTGTATGAAAATAAAAACCTCAGGGGGTAATTTGTTATGAAAATATAAACCACAGGGGGCGGGATGTAATTTCTCAAATCTCAGGGGGGAATCTGTATTTTCACCAAACCTCGAGGGGGGTGTTTGTAATTTGCCCTTTTATTTTGGACAAATTATTAAGAAGTGTTTTTTGAGAAAACGTGTAACATTTTAGTCTTATAATCTTTTATATTTATTCAAAAGTTCTACAACCTTTTTTTTCCCCTTCTTCTTTACCTTTTTTTTTTTTTTTTTTCTGTCCCTTTTACTCTTTGTGATTTTTGACGATCGTCAATGGGCAACTAGATCTTGCTTATTCTCTTTCTCTTTTTGATATATAGTCACCAGCGACCGACAACTATCATCGATAGAATTCATCAGCAATCACTGACCGTCGACTCCTTACTTCACCCTTAACAACGGTGAAGAAGATATGTTTCTGACAAAGAAGATGAGTAGATTTACTTAGATCTGATGTAGATCTACATCAAATCTGACTAGATCTAAACAGAAAATAATTGTCGGAGTACAATCCTCTCTCTATCTATCTCTTTTCTTCGATCTCTTAATTTTTCTACATTTTTTCTGCAATACACTTCTCTATTCTATTTTAATGAAAAAAATTTCAAGTTTTAAACGAGTTATTTTCGAATTTTAGTTACAAAAGGTGAAAATTGTAAAATTTTACAGTTTCAATTTTAATTGGTACTAGACTGAATCATGGTTTAAAACTATAAAATTTTACAGTTTCATAACATTCTTTAGTACTGTAAAATTTTTACAGTTTCATTACATGTTTTTCAATTTCATTAATAAGGATAAATGCTTAATAGATTTTTGTTTTGAAACTGTAACATTTTACAGTTTCAAAGCTTGCTTTTCAATTTGATTAATATTGGAGATTATTTGCTTAAACCCTACAAAATTAAAAAATAACATATGTTTTTTTTTCATTGTTGCTATTTTTTGTCGTTACATTTTTTTTCCTTTTAATTTATCAATATTTAGCACATTTTGTTTTTTTTTTCGCTCTAATTTCACTATTTATTCTTTTTTTTTTTACAACATTCTGGACATTCTAGTGAGTCTCCAACGATGTTAGTAATGTCTAGTGAACGTTATAGACATTCCCGCGACTTTTATTGACGTTCATAACATTCTGGTCAACTTTCAACGATACTCCGACAACTTCTTAGTGATGTTGAATATTCTGGCAAGTCTCTGGTGACCATTTGACGGAAGTCCGACGGTAGTAGGATATAACTAGGGGTGAGCATGGTCCGGATTGGACCGGATTGGGATAAAACCAGGACCAATCCGTTATTTACGGTTCCTAAAAAATTGGAATCAATCCAATCCATTTAAATCATGGAACCAATCCGAACCAATCCATTTAAATACGGATTGGATCGGTTTAGGACCACGGATTCACATAATTAAATAACAAAAATATATATATAACACTTGAATTTCATAAAAATATAAACATAGCGCTATATTAGTTCCCCCTTCTTTGCGCCTAGGGGTGAACTCTCTTTTCTAATTGCTGGTTTGGGAGTGAAAATTCGTCTTCGTTTTTCGGGCATCGGCATTTTGTTCTGTCAACTTATATTGGTACATATAAATTCTATTATTTGAATTCAATATAGCATATCTTCAAAACTAAATAGAAAAATTATGCATGTAAATTATATTCAGTCAAAAAAAGATGCTATCAATTGCCTTTACTGTTGTCATCAAACAAAGTACTCCCACACACACCCTTTGTCAGCAAGCTATCATTTCATTTACTTATCACAATGAAGTATGTGATTCTGGTTTCTTAGCTTCTATTCATTTAATTCGATAGTTGGAATTAGGAGTGCACAAAAGAATCGACTAGAATACCATCAACAATCGTTAATGTTAGCGGTACCTCCTAACAAGGACGGATCCAAAATTCTAACTTGGGGAATATTACAGCATATATAAATTTAATATATATATATATATATATTGATAACAATTAAAAATATATAGGACTAATTGGTATAAGTGTTTTGTTTTGGGATTAGATGGGTTTTGAACTTTATATATGAGATTTATTGGTAACTTCCCCTTTTATTTTCTACTCTTTCATTTTCTTTAAAAAATAAAAAACAAAATTAGAGGACTTGTTTAAGAATTGACTATGTTAATTAATTTATCTTATTTTTATGAAAAAATTTGAAAGAATATAAATAATAATAATGAAAAAAAGTGGCATAATTTGGTGTTTTGGTTATTTAATAATAAGAAGGAAAAAAAATCATCCCAAACGAGTTAATAAACACGACAAACGGCATTATGCTACTTTTACAGCCATCTAAATCATATAACTTAATTGTTTCATTTTAAATTCAATAAACTTTTACAGCCATCTAAATCATATAACTTAATTGTTTCATTTTAAATTTATATTGAAGAGAAATTTGAGTAATATTTTAATGCTAAACACTAATTTTTAATTAAATTCTTATTAAAAATTCTCACCATATTCCAAGAGTGGTAATTTGGTAGATAAATAAAGCTTTAGATAAAATAAGAAAATATAGTATTGGGTGCTTTGGCCAAAATCTAAAATTGGATGTTCTTTGTCCAAAAGTTCAAGTACTAATTTTCTTTGTCCATAAGGATAAATTTAGGTAAAATGACCAAAATACTCGTACTATATATATACCTACCTAGGGTTAGAAACTCCATTGCATCTCTCTCTCTCTAAACCATTATTCGCTTTCTCTTCACTTTCATCTCCGATCCTACCACCACTACCACCGTCATCCCTCTGACACCACTCCCACCGTCGCCTTCTCCTCACTTTCTCCATCACTCACCGCTCTCTCTCTATCTCTCTCTCTCTCTTCTTTTCTTCACCTTCCGTTGCTGCTGATCTTCATCAATCTTCATAGACCTAAGTACCGCCAATCTTCTCACGCCATCATCGTCGCCTCCTCTTCCGCCATCGCCATTGCTATCACCATCGCCACTAGGGGTGCTTGTAGATCAATTGTTGACGGTTAAGTTTGCGGGTTGGGAAAAATTGAACCCGCAACCGCCTACAGTGCGGATTATGGTTTGTGAGGATAGGGTTCGCAAGTATGCTAGCGGTTGCAGACGATTTGCGGATTCGGCTTTTCATTTAAATTTTTTTATTTGAACTTTTTTTTTGGGCACTTTTTCATAAATCCCTTTTGACGTACTTATGTTCTATTTAGTCGACATTATTTTCTTATATTCCAATAAGTCCTATGAGTGACGTAGTTACCAAAATACCCTTAATAATATTCACATTTACAGTGTGAATGTTCCGTGATGTGAATGTTTACACCACCGTCGATGTGAACATTCACACCATCAATGTGTTCACCATCAATGTGAATGTTAACATATCAATGTGAATATTCACACTGTTAGTGTCAATATTCACACTATTTAAAAAATATTTGTAAGGGTAGAAATGTCCATAACTACTTTGAAAATGAGAATTAGGATTTGGTAGATCAAATATTCAAATAATAGGACTTATTGAAATACAAGAATATCTTATGAACTAATTGGGATACAAACACTCAAAAAAGAATTTTCTAATAAATCTCCCATTTTTTTTCCATTTTTAAATATTATTTTGGGCATTTTTCCTCCATTTTTAACATATTATTTTGGGTCATAAAATCACATATTTCTTATCATAATATCACATATTTCTTATCATAATATCATTATTTTTCAAATGATTTATCCCAAATAAATTACAACCTATCTATCCAATTTACTTCCATTAGGAAACAGACCATAAGCACAGGTCAGGATTAGTTAATTAACTCACATTCACTTTGCAAAAAAGGTATAAGTTAAACAATCTATACAAATGTGGGTGGGTGAGTGCATGTGCGGGTAAAACCCATGACCTCCTCGCAACCTGCAAAACAGGAAAATCATAACCCGCATCCGACTCTAACAATTATGCGAAACCACCCAACTAGGCACTGGTGGTTCAGGTTGGGCGATTTTTGCTAGTCGAATAACCATATGCCCAGCCCTAATCTCGACCATAACTGTTCATCGTTAGTACGAAGCTCACGAAGCCTTTCTCTGTGAAAAGTGAAAGTTTGCGGAGAAATAATTTATTTTGAAAAACAATTTTTCAAAGAAATACTACTTGATTACACAATCGAAAATACCTCAATCCAAGCGTTTGATAATACCTCACAAAGTGATCCAAGTGTCTCGCCTCCAAAGTGATTCACCTTGCACCCTCTTAAATTTATTTTTGTGTATATTTTTCTACAGATCTTAAAAATTCTAATGGCCAATTTTTATATCAAATACATCTGATATATATACACAACACATGATAGAGTTTGCATGTAGGTGGGATCCTTAGAGATCTCTATCTTTTAGTTGTGGGGATAAAATAAAAGATGTATCTTTCATCTTAAATATGCAGGATACAACTTATCCAATTTTTCATTAATTATTTTTTAAATAGATAACATAGAACTTTCACTAATTGCAATAATGTCCATCAACACATTATAATTAAATCCCTAAAAGTAGAGAATTACAAGTGAGGCCCTTCTTACAATTAGTCACAAATTTCCTTCCACCAAACTATATTCCACATGAGGTACTAGGTATGGACAAATTTATCACAATCAAAAAACCGTAACTCATGTAACCGAATTCTAAATTTTTCCTTTTTCTAATTGGACCCTAAAAGCATTTTTCAAAAATAGCACTTTTGTAATTATATATGTATAGAAATATTTTTATGAAAAAGTAACCGGCCGGTTTTCTTTTGGTCCAACGTTAATAGGAAAAATTGCTT